CCAACATGGTGAAACCCTGTCTCTTAAAAAATAAATAAATAAATAAATGATCTGGGCACCATGGCACATGCCTCACTCTGGAGGCTGAGGTGGAAGAATCTCGAGCCAAGGAGTGTCCAGACTGCAGTGAGTGAGCTAGGATGACACCACTGCACTCCAGAATTTAACAGTCTCTCTCTCTCTCTCTCTCTCCCCACCTCAAAAAAATTTTTTTAATTGTATGCAAAGGAGTGAAGCCAATAAAATAGTAGCTTAGATTGAGAGAGAAATAGTTTCTGTGAGCCCTGAAATTCCACATATCCATCAATATTTAGCCTTTAAAAAATAAATAACAAGGGCCGGGCGCAGTGGATCTCATCTGTAATCTCAGCACTTTGGGAGGCTAAGCCGGTGAATCACTTGAAGTCTGAAGTTCAAGACCAGCCTGGCCAACAAGGTAAAACCCCGTCTCTACTAAAAATACAAAAATTAGCTGGGCGTGGTGGTGTATGCCTGTAACCCCAACACTTGGGAGGCTGAGGCAGAAGAATTGCTTGAACCCAGGAGGCGGAGGTTTCAGCGAGCCGAGATGGCACCACAGCACACCAGCCTGGGTGACAGAGTGAGACTTCATCTCAAAAAGAAAAAAAAAAAAAAAAAAAACAGGCTGAGCATTGTGGGAGGCTGAGGCAGGCGGATCACCTGAGGTCGGGAGTTGGAGACCAGTCTGACCAACATGGAAAAACCCTGTATCTACTAGAAATACAAAATTAGCCAGGCATGTTGGTGCATATCAGTAATCCCAGCTACTCAGGAGGCTGAGACAGAAGAATTGCTTGAACCGGGGAGGTGGAGGTTGCAATGAGCTGAAATTGTGCCATTGCACTCCAGCCTGGGCAACAGGAGTGAAAATATGTCTCAAAAAAAAGAAAAGAAAAAGAACAACAGCAACAACAACAGATGTTTATGGCCATTGAGGTGTTTTATTCATCATTTCAACACCTTTTTATTGTGTGCCTTCTATGTGCTAGATGCTAGATAAATGTTGATTTAGAGATTCTTCTCAAACTGCTTTTTTGTATTTACATTTAAAATATTCTTAAAAGGAATTTGATGATTCAAATTAAGTCAGGAAATGTCCATGGACGTTTAGGAGTATAAGAGGTTGCTGTGCTGTCCCTTCCCCACTCCCATGCAAAGAAGGGGGTGCAGGGGTGTGCAGGACAGAGCACCAGCCCTTAGAGAGCTCATGATGAGGCTGGAGAGAAAGCATACCAATAAAATGAGAAATGACAGTAAATCACAGTAAAGAACAATCCCCAGGGGATGCAGTGACACACAGTAGTACATGGTTATGCATTTGCATACAGCAGCTGCCACAAAGGCTTTGGGCTGACAAGAAGATTCAGAATTCAGGAAGGTGAGTGAAAATGTGTATGCATGATGAAGTATTTGGCCCAATGGAGGGTAGAATTTAGACAGGCAAAGAAGAAAGCGATGGTTCCAGCAAAATCGAAGCATAACAGAGAAAAGCATATGCTAGGGAGAGCTGACCTACGGACTAGTGCAGAGTTGAAAAGGGTGGAGAGTTGGCCACAGGTCAGAAGGGCTGATTCCAATGTTGACTACCCACAAACAACTATGAACTGGACTCATGAACAACAAGAGATGTAGTCAGAATGTTTAGGCTGTCTCAATCAATCATTTGTAGAATGTCTACAGAATAGATAGGTGGATGGATGGATGGACGGACGGATGGACGGATGGATAAAGGAAAGCAGGAAGGGAGGTTATGCATATGTAGCCCACATCCATCCCTGCCTGTGTTGTAAGGCCTAAAGTTCAATATTATGTGCTGTCTTGACATCTGGCAAAACGAAAGGGCCTCAAATGGCCTAACAACAAGTCCCCTCCCCACTATGCTCCTGTAGATACGGTCCCCTGGCCAAATAACCTTCCTTATTTAAGGGACTAGGCACAGTTCCTGCTTATCACTGAGTAGCAAGTTTCACTTCCTGCCAGCCCACAGAATTACTCCAAAAGCCAATCACTTCCTCCTGTAGGGATTAAACAGCACTTCACCCTCTTGAAACTACAAAGCCTGCCTCCCACAGCCCCCGACAGTTCACTCTGTTCCTGGGTGCAACCCCCGTATGGTCCTGTATTCCCCTCCCCTGGGCTGTGAGTATGTGAGGAGTAAGCTGCTGTCAATCTCACCTGGCCAGTGTAGTGTTCGCTCACCCCCATAACCCTAGCTAGGAATCCCTCCTTCACTAACAGGATGAAGAGGAGGCAATCAAAACAATCCGCCCTATTTTCCTTTGCTGACAGAACCTGGATTTTGTTCAAGGAACCATCCTTCCTAACATGACTTAGAAAATGGTCGCTTCATCCCCATCTCAGAAATAAATTGTAATTGGTTTTATTCCCTCTTAGTGGTCCCATTAGACTCTAGCATATGACCCAGTCCTGCCCATTAAAACCTGAGGATAGAGGGAGGGATGGGGAGCAAAAAAAAAAAATTAAAAATAAATAAATACAACCTGAGGATATATCTGATGGGAGGTTTCTGGGAAGGAATTCCTAACTCCTGAGAAGGGGGCACTGAAATAAAAGGCCCCTGTTCTATTTCCACAGGTTTCTGTTTCTAGACCCCATGTGTTCACCTGTGGCTCCAGTTACCCTGTGGCCAAGAGCATATACAGCCTACTCTAGAGGAAACTGAAAAAGAGATGGAAAAGCCTGGGTCAGTCCGGGAGCAGTGGCTCACACCTGTAATCCCAGTGTTTTGGGAGGCTGAGGCAGGAGGGTCTTGGGTCCAGGAGTTCAAGACTGAGTCTTAATTGCCACCATTGAGCCAATGAATCAACCTGCATACCTTTGAATAATGTCTTTTCTTAATGTTTATGCCAGTTTGGGTCAGTATTTTCTCTTCCTTGCAACTGCAAACATCTTACTGATACATCAGCTTTTAGCTGTATTGGTAAACATGAATTCCTAAATCCATCCAAAGGGATAGCATTCTTAAAGCATTTTCAGGACCTTAAGTTTAAAGTTCAAACCGATGAAATACTTGGATGAGGTTGATTTAATTATCAGAGAAAGAAACTAGCCATTGAGCACCTACTGCATACATTCACAGTATCCCTAAAGTTGCTTGCTTTACTGCCCCTGTTTTATGGAAGAGGAAACAGAAGGTAATGGAGGTATGTGACCAGCTCAGGTCACACAAACAACAAGCATCCAAGCTGGAATTTAAAACCCAAGTCTGTCTGTCTTGTCAGACCCCTGCAGGGTGTTTTGCCCTGAGTGAATTAGACTGGGAACAAACTGGGAAGCCAAAATGAAGAAAGAGTTGAAGGAATATCAGTAGACAATTTTTGTTTTTAAAGCAGAACTAGGACTTCTTCTATTTTTTTAGAGAAAACAACACCACCAGCAACCTCTCACTTTTTCTGGCACATCTAAACCAGACACGAAAGTATGTGAAAATGCAAAATCACATGTGAGATGTACAATCAATCAGTCACCAAGTATTTATGGAGCTCATAACATGAGCCTGGCAGCCAGGGTAGCTGGATGCTGTGTTTTCTAGTCCCACGGAGAGAGGGGCCAGACTATAGTGCAAACTCCAGGACAAGATGAGAATAATCATAAAAATGTAGTTTAAAGATCCCCTCACAGGTTGGGGGCAGTGGCTCCCGCATGTAATCCCAGAACTTTGGGAGGCTGAGGCAGGCAGATCACTTGAGGTCAGGAGTTCAAGACCAGGCTGGCCAACATGGTGAAAACCCATCTCTACTAAAAATACGAAAATCAGCTGGGCATGGTGGTACATGCCTGTAGTCCCAGCTACTTGGGAGGGTGAGGCAGAAGAATCACTTGAACCTGGGAGGCAGAGGTTACAGTGAGCCAAGATCCCACCACTGCACTCCAGCCAGCCTGGACAACAGCAAGACTCTACAAAAAAAAAAAAAAAAAAAAAAAAATCCCCTCTCAGGATTATTGGTCCAGCATTTTTTAAGTTTCTAAGATACAGTTGAGCACTGCTTATTGTAAGGTTTATTGCCGAGTTCAATGAGGAAATGGAGACTGGAGTAAAAAAGTAAAAACCAATTTATTCAGCTCCCGGGCGAGGTTCTATGCTCAGGGGAAGGGGCCAGAGAAGCCGCGCTTCTCTTCTTAGGGCTTGGGGGTTGTATGGAGAGTGGAGGTAGTTGACTGGCTGCAGGGGAAACAAAGCGGAGGTAGTCTCATTGGTTAGGAAGGGACTGGGCATGGACGAGGCAAGCCGCCATTGGCAGCCACTCGGGGCTGCTGGCAAGTGGGCTGGCTGAGGACGTACGGGGCAAGCTGCCATAGGGCAGGTCTTGGAGGGATTTTTAAAATCTCGGCAGGGCCGAGTGCCTAGTTGCTGATGAGTGCAGGACTGAGATTGGAATGCGGAAATGGGTGTGGGGAGCCCACTGGGAGAGGCCAGATGCACTCAGAATGATGAGTAGTTTTCTGGTACGGAGAGGAGTGGGTGTGTCCATTTGGCCCCTGGCAAGGCAACCAGCCTTACACTTATAAATAAGTTCCTGGAGTCTAGAGTCAGGAAGACTGGGATTAAAATTCCAGCTCTTCCACCACTGCAGTGTGACCTTGAGCAAGCTTCTTATCTCACTGAGCCTTAGTTTTCTGATCTGTGAAATGGAAATAATAATAGTACTTAGTTCAAAAGGCTACTGTGCCAGGTCCAGTTTGTGTCTGACAGATGTTAGAGAATATTACTTTTTATCCTTCTATTATTCGTTTTGAAAAAGTAGATGTCTATAATCTCCCACCTGAAAACGCAGAGCTGGAGTGAAAGCGTGAGCTGGCAGCGGGCCTAGATCACGCTGCAGGGTGATAATCCACATGCTTGGGCCTTGTGTTTTCCTTTCTCTCTTTTTCCCAATTCAGAAGGGAGCTGACTTTGGGAATACTGTCTGGAGTCTGGAAGCCTGTGGAAGGTGATGCAACCAGCTGTTACAGTAACTTCAGAAAGGGCCCCAGGATGGCAGGAAAGCAGCAGAGGGGCCTGCTAAGTGGCCCCTCCTGAAGCCAAAGGGGCCACTTAGCAGGACCAACAGAACCCTTGACCAACTATGTGGACCAGTGACCCAGAGCCAGATTCATTTCCCTCCCTAGTCATGGCCTTCCTTCCACCCCCCAGGACTGTGCGAAACTCAATATATATATGTTCCTGGGGAAGTGGGTACGTACCCAGGAAAGACCACAGTTAGAGGGTTGTTTTTTTTTTCTTTTGAGACGGAGTCTTATTCTGTCGCCCAGGCTAGAGTGAAGTGATGCTCACTGCAACCTCCACCTCCCAGGTTCAAGCAATTCTCCTGCATCAGCTTCCTGAGTAGCTGGGACCGCAGGCATGCATGACTGTGCTCGGATGATTTTGTATTTTTAATAGAAATGGGGTTTCTCCATGTTGGTCGGGCTGGTCTTGAACTCCTGACCTCGTGATCCACCCGACTTGGCCTCCCAAAGTGCTGGGATTACAGATGTGAGCCATCGAGCCCAGCTGGTTAAAGGCTTCATACCAGGCTGGCATGGCAAAAACCTGGACTCAGAGTCAAGTTCTAGAAAGAAAACCTTATTTTTTGTCTACCTGTGTTGTGCCCTGAGAGTCCTACCAACCATAGCTGGTATGAATAATTTCCAGTCACTTGTTCTAAGGCGACCATGGTGGATACAAAGGTCCACAAATCTCAACCAGGAGCAGGAAAGAAGGTAAAGCTACAGGTGAGATCATAGGCCCATCGCCAGGAGGGCACGCAGGCAGATCGGCCAGAGGCCTTTGGAATGGGCTTGGGCACCAACGAGGAAGCAAATGAGGAGGTGAAGGAACAAATAAACCCACCTGGCAGAAAACTGCCACTGTTCACAGTCTTTCACACCCAATTATTATTAAATCCAGAGATTTGGGTTTGCAGCTGGGGTTTAGCAATTAAAACTGTTATGTTGCGACACCTTTCCTGTTTGAAGTGGTAAAGGCATAAAGCCTGCGAATTTGTGGATGTGACACCGCAGCCTTCTGTGCAAACATCTGACTCACTTTGCACCCCCAGAGGGGGAAGAAGCCAGCTCAGGTTTCACTCTTAACCCCCAAACCCTGCTGTGAATGTCAGTTCTTTCCCAGAAGCAAACGGAACAAAGCAAATCTCTTTAAATCAGTGCTGACAGCCTAAACCCAAGTTTATGAAGGTTCAGGCCACAGAGGAGGCCCTGTGCTCCAGGGTTGCACGGTGAGGGGTGAGCGGCTCTGAGTCAAATGAGCCAGAACCTAGACTTCACTATTTTCATCACCTTAACATTTACATTCCGAGAGCCTGGGGAAATGGATCTTTGAGATGACAGAACATTAACCTTTGCTATAGCAAAGTCTGGACCGTCTCCAAGTGCCTAACAAAAAATGGTACTCCTTATCTTCATTCTAGCCTCCAGTCTGTTGGAAAGGTCAAGACAGGGGAGGGGCATGGACAGCGGCAATGTCTCAGGAAATCTCAGTGCTCATAGGGCCTATAGCTACCCTCCAAGTCCACTCTGGCATTTTCTGCATGAGTAAACTCAGGCTTAGGAGAGGTTAGGGAACCTCTGCAATGTCCCAGCGCTGGATGGTCCATGAGCTGCGGCTGAGGTCCATGCTACCTGCTCTGGTCTGTTCATTCACTATAATGAATGTGTGCTGGTTACTACCAAGGAACTTCTGTCTGTGGTTGTATGGGTCATGGCGGTCGGCACGGCCCCAACCTCCCCATGGAAGTCGAGGAGGCTCCAGATTCCCTCTCCCCACCTCCTGAGAGCAGAGATGTGACCCATACCCTGCCATCAGGACATTACACCTGCAATATCTGTGGAAGATCAGAATACGCCCCACTAAATATGCCTGTTTGTTATAAGCACTGTTGAGCTGAAGGCAATTGAGAAGATGCAGATGCAGGAAAGCTCTCTGCCCTTCCTCTAATTGCCTAAAAGAGGGACATAGATTTACGAAGACATAAGGTATCCTGTACCCAGTTCTACTAAGAAGGACAAAGGCTGGGGCCAGGCTCCATGGCTCATGCCTGTAATCCCAGCACTTTGGGAGGCTAAGGTAGGTGGATCACCTGAGGTCAGGATTTTGAGACCAGCCTGGCCAATATGGTGAAACTGTCTCTACTTAAAATACAAAAAATTAGCTGGGCGTGGTCGCAGGTACCTGTAATCCCAGCTACTCTGGAGGCTGAGGCAGGAGAATCACTTGAACCCAGGAGGCGGAGGTTGCAGTGAGCCAAGATGGTGCCACTGCACCCCAGCCTGGGCGACAAAGAGAGACTCAGTCTCAAAAAAAAAAACAAAAACAAAAGTCAACCACTGAAGACAACTTGAGACTTTCATGGACCTGGAGATGGCGCCAGAGCAATCGACATGAACAAGCTTCACTCACTGGTCTTTATCTGCCAATTACTTGCCTTCCCACAAGTTGCTGCCCCTAGAGACTCATTTCTCTTGTTCTTTGTTGGAGGTGCTATATAAGCTGGAATTCTTATATAGAGAACGACTCATTCCCTGGGTATTCCCCATGTGTATATATTGCTGGAAAAGAGGGTCATAATCCAGACTCCAAGAACAGGTTATTGGATCTTGTGCAGGAAATAATTCAAGGAGAGCCACAGACCACAGTAAAAGAAGCAAATTTATTGGAAACCTGCTACAGAGTCAAGTAGAGCATCCTCAGAAAGCAGGAGGAAGAACATGCCATCCTTGGTTAGCATCTCCACTTATAAGAAGCTATGAGGAGCTATAATTAAACTTGAAATGGGCAGATGTGCTTGCTAAAGGTAGTGGCTATTAGTGTTGTCAGTGACCATTAATCCTTCAATCGAAGCCGGCTCATTATCGTTATCTTTAAGTACATGGGCTCCATGCTTAGGGCATCTGGACGTTCTGCAGGCTTTGGTGGGAGCTGCTCTGTAGGGCCATAAATATTCGGTAATTATAATTGGTGGTCAGCTTAGAATGTGGCTATTTTCAGGTCCTAAATATTAACCTTTTAAGTGTCTTGTGAGTGCCCAGTTACTCACTTCCAGAGAGTCACTCTGGTCATGTGCTACTAAACCAGAGGCCTGGTAAGCAGGGGTTCCTCTAACACATATATACATTCATAAACTCCTGTTCGCTTTACTTTTCTCTTGTCAATCTGTCTTTTGTTACAGGGCTCTGTTCTTTTTTTTTTTTTTTTTTTTTTTTTTTTGAGACGGAGTTTCGCTCTTGTTACCCAGGCTGGAGTGCAATGGCGCAATCTCGGCTCACCGCAACCTCCGCCCCCTGGGTTCAGGCAATTCTGCTGCCTCAGCCTCCTGAGTAGCTGGGATTACAGGCACGCACCACCGTGCCCAGCTAATTTTTTGTAATTTTTAGTAGAGACGGGGTTTCACCATGTTGACCAGGATGGTCTCGATCTGTTGACCTCGTGATCCACCCGCCTTGGCCTCCCAAAGTGCTGGGATTACAGGCTTGAGCCACCGCGCCCGGCCCTACAGGGCTCTGTTCTAACTAAGAACTTATGAAGGTTGAAGAAAAATTTGTTTTTCCTTCCCAACATGTCCAAACTGCCCACGGCCGCCACATTGGTTCTGCCACAGACTACTGTGACCAGATCCAAATCTTTTTTTTTTTTTTTTTTTTATTGAGACAGAATTTGGCTCTTACTGCCCAGGCTGGAGTGCAGTGGTGCAATCTCAGCTCATTGATTACAACCTCTGCCTCCTGGGTTCAAGCGATTCTCTTGTCTCAGCCTCCTAAGTAAGTAGCTGGGATTACAGGCATGCGCCACCACACCTGGCTAATTTTGTATTTTTAGTAGAGATGGGATTTCACCATGTTGGTCAGGCTGGTCTCAAACTCCCAACCTCACTTGTGACCTGCCCACTTAGGTCTCCCAAAGTACTGGGATTACATGCATGAGCCACTGCACCCAGCCCCAGAGGCAGGTCGTCTAATGATAAATTTGCCCAGTGACCAGTTCACCTGTTGACCAATTTGCATAATGAACAGTTTGCCTTGAACCAGACCTATTTTGAGAGTTTTTGCATTTATTCAGCTGCTCTATTCTTTTTAGCCACCTTTCAGGCATTTTTAAGGATTAAAAAAATTAATTTCCCCTAAGGGGTTTTTCACCTGCTAAATATCAAATTTCTGATTATTTATGAAATGTATTGTCTTTTTTAAACAATGAAATTGTTCTTTATTATGTGGGAGTCTTTGGATAATATATCAACCTTCAAACAAACTGTAAGATACTTCTTTGTAAGTTTATATCAAAGTTGCAGGTTTTTTATTTTATTTTGAGATGGAGTCTTGGTCTATTACTAGGCTGGAGTGCAGTGGCACAATCTTGGCTCACTGCAACCTCCGCCTCCTGGGTTCAAGAGATTCTTCCGCCCCAGCCTCCCGAGTAGCTGGGACCACAGGTGCGTGCCACCACGCCCGGCTAATTTTTATGTATTTTTAGTAGAGACAGGGTTTCACCATATTGGCCAGGATGGTCTCAATCTCTTGACCTCGTGATCCACCTGCCTCGGCCTCCCAAAGTGCTAGTATTACAGGCATGAGCCACTGCACCCGGCCAAAGTTGTAGGCTTATAGTAAGAGACCCTTACTGAGTCTGATGTTCAAGATATTAAATTCAGAAAATAATCCTAGATTTGAAACATTATATGAGTGCTCTTGGTGAGCAACTGAACTGACTTTCATGGTGGCATGAGACCAGCACAGCTCTTAGCAGCTAACCATAATTAATGTCTGATGATAATGACTAAGAATATACTAGGCCAAATGTGTGCTACTGGGTTCACATTCCATTTCAGTCCATAAATAAGTATTGTGGGTGACTATGTTTATAATAAAAGCAGGCTGGACGAGGTGGTTCATGCCTATAATCCCAGCATTTGGGAGGCTAAAATAGGCAGATCACTTGAGGTCAGGAGTTCGACACCAGCCTGGCCAACATGGTGAAACCCCACCTCTACTAAAAATACAAAAATTAGCTGGTCGGTTTGATGTACACATATAATCCCACCTACTGGGAATGCTCCCACATGTTGTGGGAGGGACCAGGTGGAGATAATTGAATCAGAGGCAGCTCCCCTCATGCTGTTCTTGTGATAGTGAGTGAGTTCTCACAGGATCTGATGGTTTTATAAGGGGCTTGCGCCTTTGCTCAGCATTCACATCTTTCACCTGCCACCATGATTATAAGTTTCCTGAGGCCTCTCTAGCCCTGTGGAAATGTGAGGCAATTAAACCTTTTTTTCTTATAAATTACCCAGTCTCAGGTATGTCTCATAGCAGCATGAAAATGGAATAATAGTCTACTTCAAGTTACCATACATATTCAACATTAGTAAAGTAGCTCTTCTGGCTGCGCACCGTGGCTCACACCTGTACTCTCAGCATTTTCGGAGGCCAAGGCAGGTGAATCACTTGAGCCCACGAATTAGAGACCAGCCTGGGCAACATAGCAAGACCCCTGTATCTAAAAAAAAAAAAGTAGAAAAAATTAGCCAGGAGTTGTGGCACGTACCTGTGGTCCCAGCTACTTGGGAGGCTGAGGTGGAAGGATCAGTTGAGGCCAGAAGGTCAAGGCTGCAGTCAGCCAAAATTTGCCACTGCATTCCAGCCTCGGGAAAGAGTTATACCCTATCTCAAAATAATTTTTTAAATATAGGTCAGGCATTGTGGCTCACACCTATAATTCCAGCACTTTGGGAGGCCAAGGTGGGTAGATCACGAGGTCAAGAGTTCAAGACCAGCCTGGCCAACATGGGGAAACCCATCTCTACTAAAAATACAAAAATTAGCCAGGCATGGTGGTGCTCAGCTATAGTCCCAGGTACTCAGGAGACTGAGGCAGGAGAATCACTTGAACCCAGGAGGCAGAGATTGCAGTGAGCTGAGATCATGCCACTGCACTCCAGCCTGGGTGACAGAGTGAGACTCCATCTCAAAAATGAAAACAATGAAATGGCTGGTTAAACTAGTCATTTATCTATTGGCATTGATTTAATTACTTTTTAAAAGGAACATGCTCACTATTATAATATAGTTCCTTTTCACAGACCCAGAGATCATAGGTGACATCTTGTCTCCCCAAATATAAGAACTAAACATAAGAAAAGTCTGGTATAATCACTCAGAGAGACATTAACACCAATGTTATAAGTCAGTTCCGATGTATTTAATAAAACGGCTTTCCTTTAGTCAAAATAATGTTTTTAAATCTAGTCAAATAATCAGCATCAAAATGTTTGGGACACTCAGGAGTGTCTCTTTGGTGCCTGGAAATGGGTGTTTTATTCATCCTCTAGAAGTTCACAGTACAGTGTGTGGGCGAAGCTTTCTGGGCAATGTGTCCCTCTGTCAGCTTTTGCCTCTGCAAAGCCAAACTGTGGGTTGTGTGTCTGAGTATTACAACCCACAAGAAATGTGGCTATGGCCAGAAAACATAAGTGTGAATGATTTTGGAACGCTGCGCATCTCATGAGTCACATGGCAACAGCCCTGACCGCGGTTTGTACACCTTCTGCCCTAGCAGCCACCAGTCAAGCGAAGAGGGTGCCCTCTAGGGGTGAGCCTGGGCAACAAAATAGTCCCCTTCTCTTGGGAAACTGTGGGGATTCACCTTTAGGAAGTCCTTTTCCTAAAAACTACACTTCTAAAGCTTTCAAAAATGAAATTCTATCAACAAGATATCAGAAGTAACCAAATAAACCGACGTGTGTGCCTGCGTGTGTATGCATGCATGCTCGCCCATATAAACTGAGTATCAGTATGAGCAGGAAACTAGCATGGGTGCTGGCCTCCCAGGAGGGGAACAGCATAAAGGAGATGGGGACAGGAGGGGAACTCACTTTTCCCTCCCCTCAACTTTTATTATGAAAAACGTTCAAACAGAAAAGTTGAGAGAATAGTGCATTAAATTCTCGCTTACTCAGCACCTAGATTTCACCGTGCTTGGCGTGTTTGTATTTGTTTTATCTCTATATTAGTTTGCCTGACTTCTCTTAGACTCACCTTTCACGGCAAAGTCTTTGGATCCTTTCAACTGTGTACTCTGTATATGTCATCTATCAAAATTAATTTCTTTTTTTTTTTTGAGACGGAGTTTCGCTCTTGTTACCCAGGCTGGAGTGCTATGGCGTGATCTCAGCTCACCACAACCTCTGCCTCCTGGGTTCAGGCAATTCTCCCGCCTCAGCCTCCTGAGTAGCTGGGATTACAGGCACGTGCCACCATGCCCAGCTAATTTTTTGTATTTTTAGTAGAGACAGGGTTTCACCATATTGACCAGGATGGTCTCGATCTCTTGACCTCATGATCCACCCGCCTTGGCCTCCCAAAGTGCTGGAATTACAGGCTTAAGCCACCACGCCCGGCCAATAAATTTCTTAATAATGATAGTAACCATGTCTGAGAGGAGTTGTGAAGGAGGGTTAAATTAGATGAGGAGATGGACAAAAAATACCTGGCGCAGCGCCAAGCACAGAGTACCTGCTCAAGAAACGCTGTGGTGGGCAGGGCGTAGTGACTCACACCTGTCATCCAAGCACTTTGGAGGCCAAGGCGGGCGGATCACCTGAGGTCAGGAGTTCAAAACCAGCCTGACCAACATGGTGAAACCCCGTCTTTAAAAAAGAAAAAGAAAGAAATGCTTCGGTCACGCTCAGATTTCCCTTCATTCACTCGTAGGTCCCACAGTAAACTCAGCATCTTTGATTTCATCTGAGTCTTTTCCCAAGCCAATCCTCTTTTCCCTTTTCCACACCTCTCTCAACTTCTCTATGGCTCCTGGCAGGTGCAGAGTAAAAGGGATCATCACGTCCTGCAGGAAAGCAGCAGGGCCTCCAGACCACAGTTACGGCCCACCACTGAGCTGGAGCAGGCCTAGGCAGCCATGATACTTAATCCTTTCCCGGCTGCTCCAAGAAAATGGCTTTATGCCTGCAAATAGCCACCCTTTCTCATGGCCTATCTTGTAATAGGTTTGGCAATTTTCTGATGTCAGAATACATACATACAAAATATTTAAATAATATAAAATAAGGCTGGGCACGGTGGCTCACGCCTGTAATCCCAGCAATTTGGGAGGCCAAGGCCGGCGGATCACGAGGTCAGGAAGTCAAGATCAGCCTGGCCAAGATGGTGAAACCCCGTGTCTACTAAAAATACAAAAATTAGCCAGACACGGAGGCAGGTGCCTATACTCCCAGCTACTTGGAAGGTTAAGGCAGGAGAATTGCTTGAACCCAAGTGGCAGAGGTTGCAGTGAGCCGAGATTGTGCCACTGTACTCAAGCCTAGATGGCAGAGTGAGACTCCATCTCAAAAAATAAAATAAACAAAATATATAAAATATAAAATGTAACTATGTGGTAAAAATCAAGTAGAGATGCTAACTACATATCTAAATATATATTATATAATATATACATGCAATATAATATGCATATATTAATATACACTATACGTGTTAACATGTATATATGTTTCATCATATAATATTATATGCAATATAATTCAATATATGGCTTTAAAAAAATAAGTAGAGATTCGGCCGGTCACGGTGCTTCATGCCTGTAATCCCAGCACTTTGGGAAGCTGAGGCAGGTGGCTCACCTGAGGTTGGGAGTTCAAGGCCTGACCAACATGGAGAAATACCATCTGTACTAAAAATACAAAATCAGCCAGGCATGGTGGTTCGTGACTGTAATTCCAGCTACTCAGAAGGCTAAGGCAGAAGAATCACTTCAGCCCAGGAGGTGGAGGTTGTGGTGAGCCAAGATTGAGCCATTACACTCCAGTCTGGGCAACAAGAGCAAAACTCCATCTCAAAAAAAAAAAAATAGAGATTCTATGCTATGTTTCCCTTTCTTGTTCTCTATACGCATATATATTCAACATACAGAACATGTATATGACACGTTACATATATGTATATTACACATGCTATCTATCACACGTATGTATATGTATCGTAGGAAAAAGCAACTCTTTTTTCTTTCTATACTCACCCCTCAGTACTTTACTTCTGACACCAGATGTGTGAGTTTTTTCCCACACATTGATTCTCTGGCGGACACCAATTGGGTATCCTACAATTGATTCAGTTTTGATACCAACTAGAGTTGGTACAAATCCCACAGGTTAAGGGCTCAGTCCCACAAGATTGCCCCCACTTCGGATGCTGGTTGCAAGTCCCAGGTTGTCACTTGTACGTCTGACCAACCAATTACAAATTGGGGTTCCCCTCCTCAGGTTTGACACTTTGCTAGTGTGGCTTTCAGAACTCAGAAAACATTATGTGTTTATTATAAAGGATATTACAAAGGATGGAGATGAACAGCCAGATTGAAGAGGTACATAGGGCAAAGTGTTGGGTGACCCATGCCCCCAGCACCTCCACACATTCAGCAACCTGGAAGCTCTCGAAAGTCCACATTTTTATAAAGGCATCATCATATGGGCATGATCAATTATTAACTCAATCTTTGCAGAGGATGGGGAGTGCAGCTAAAAGCTCCAAACTTCTGATCACGGCTTGGTCTTTCTAGTAACTGGACCCCATCCAGCAACCCAGCAAGAGTCACCTCATTAGGACAAAAGATGCCCCTACCTCCCAGGAGATTCCAAGGGATGGGGAGCTCTGTGGAACAAACTGGGGTCAAAGACCAAATATTAGAACAAAAGATACACCTAGCACTTCTATCGCTTAGGAAATTACATGGGTTTTCAGAGCTCTGTGCCAGGAACTGGGTCGAAGACCAAAATATATTTCTTATTATAAATAACAACATCATAGTATATGTATATGCACATACTAGCATCCACAATATAGTCAATGTAATATGAGATATAGATATGTTTACAGATCTAGTTAGCATCTCTAACTACTTGGTTTTTACCACATACTGAATTCTGTTTGGCCAGACTCACCCTCCACCCCACCAGGACCATAAGCCCCATCTCTTATTTTTCAAAGTAAACCAGTTGAGTCACCACCTGCTCTATTAGCTACATCCAATGATTGTTTGTTTATTTTAAATTAATTAATTTATTAAATATTAGTTTATTAAATAATTTATTAAAATTATTATAAATTATAAGGTTAATTTAATTGAATTAATTTATGAAAGATTAATTGATTAATCTTTCTGGCAACTGCCTATAAACCTAGAGACTTACTCCAGTCCTTGGGGAGCGAGAACTAGGGAACTTCTCTGCCTCTCATATGCCCTATTTTTCCATTACCTTGGTTCTGTTGCTACCACACTGGCACCAGGGAGAGCAAGTCTCTATAAGCCATGTGCCTTCTCCACCACCAGAAGGCTGCTCCACGGGGCCTGATTCTGCCCAAGTGTGACTGTTCCTAGAGGAGAAGACTTCCCTCCGGCAGGGTCACAGCAGCCCCAGATGCATCCAACTTGGTTAACAATTTACAGCCACTTGCTGTGGAAGGGCCTGCAAAGACAACCAAGGAAACCCCAACAAAAATAAGAGCATTTGCTGAGCATTCATTGTGTGCCAAACTGTGCAAAATGCTTTTTTTTTTTTTTTTTTTTAAGAGAGGGGGAGGGCTCATTATGTTGCCCAGGCTGTGCTCAAACTCCTGGACTCAAACAATCCTCCCACCTCTACCTCCCGAGTAGCTGGAATTACAGGCATGAGCCATTGCACCTGGCTTAAAACACTTACAATATGTTATCGAATTTAAGCTGATTACCTAAACCCCTCTACAAAGCAGACATTTTCCCCTGATTTGAGTTTTGCTTTTTTGGTGAGTTCCTCTTAGGAGACCTTAATTCAGGTTTTAAAATTAATTAATCAAGTAACATTTATACAGAAATTACTGTGTGGCAGACAGACACCGAGTGAGCATTACAAACATTAACTCACTGAGCCCTCAGATGGCCCTATGAGATGGGCACTGTTATTCCCTTAATAGTCACAAGCAATGAGCTCAAAGTCACACAGCTAATAAGTGGCAGAAGTGGGATGCCTGTTCCACCAATGGAAATGTAATGGAGGTAATTCAAAGTGGGGACACGTGCACATGAAATACATTGGCAAGGGTGTGGAGAAATAGGCACTCTCGGGTATTGCTTAAGGGAGGGCAAATTTTCAAGGCAATGTGACAATATTGAGCAAAATTTAAAATGCACACGCAGTAGTTACTTTGACCCTGATATTCTTCTTCTAGAAATTGTTCACAGATATTTGTATGCATGTGAAAACATATGGACAAGTCATCTTATTGCACTATGTTTGTAATAGTGAAGACTAAAAGCAACCAGAATGATAATTAATAGGACATCAGGGCCAGGCATGGTGGCTTACGGCTGTAATCCCAGCACTTTGGGAGGCTGAGGCAAGTGATCACTTGAGGTGAGGAGTTCAAGACCAGCCTGGCCAACATGGTGAAACACTGTCTCAACTAAAAATACAAAAATTAGCCGGGCATGGTGGTGGGCACCTGTAATCCCAGCTACTCGAGAGGCTGAAGCAGACAGAATTGCTCGAACCCAGGAGGTGGAAGTTGCAGTGAACTGAGATCATGCCACTGCACTCCAGCCTGGGTGACACAGTGAGACTCCATCTCAGGAAGAAAAAAAATAGAACATCAGTTAAATGAATTATAATACGCCACACTCTGGAATACTATAAAGCTGTGATGATGAATGAGTGAAATCTACTGATGCTGAAGTGTCCTCTGAGATGTATTTGTAATGAAAATACAAAGCACAGAGCATATGTGTGTTTTCAAGGCTAATATCCAAGCCAAAGTCCAGGGTCTGACTCCAGGGAAGAGAAACACATCTTCTCTATTACCATATGAATGTGGTGCTAGACACCAAATTGAATTTGTTTCCATTTCAACCATATAAATTTGGCTGTATGTGGAGGGGGCAAAATTCAGGCTACAGTGGGGCTTTAGTCTCCCTGTTCTGGTACACACTGTCCCCCACAGAAGTGCATCTGGAACCAATAGAGGACACAGAGAGAAAAAGGCGATGGGGATTACCCACTCCTTCATGCACACACTCTTGGACCACAGCTCCTCTGGTTGGTGACAAATATTTCTCCTCAATGTTAAGTGCCTGCCCACTCGCTGCTACCACCAACTCCAAGGTATTGCCTGCTGGCAGTGACAGAGGAGAATAGAAAAAAGAAAGCAAAAACCAAAATGGGATTCTCTCCTCCTCTGCCTAGGAAGCGCGCACGCGCGCGCGAACACACACACACACACACACACACACACGCACGCACTACCCCCAGATGAGAAAGAGAAGGCCTCTCCTAGAACGCTTCCCATCTCCTGTCTGCACCTATTGCATGTTTCTGAGTTTACAACAGCTATCTTTGAGTCCAGGCTGGGCAATATCAAAGGAAAAAAAAATGCGAACTTTCCACCACTTTGATGGAATTTTTTTTTGGAGATGATGTTTCACTATGGAGTGTGGTGACATAGCCTCAGCTCACTGCAGCCTCTGCCTCCTGGATTCAAGCAATTTTCCTGGCTTAGCCTCCTGAGTAGCTGAAATAACTGTGCACCCACCATCACACCCGGCTAACCCAGCTAATTTTTGTATTTTTAGTAGAGACGGGGGTTTCGCCATGCTGGCCAGGCTGGTCTCAAACTCCTCACCTCAAATGATCCACCTGCCTCGGCCTCCCAAAGTGCTGGGATTACAGACATGAGCCACTGTGCCCGGTCAGAGCTTTTTCTGATCTTTTTCCCCAATCCACTAGCTACAATTTGTTTTTCAGAGTCTTTAGCTGCTCCATGCCTTTTGAAAGGATCTGTAGTTGCAGCCAATGTGATCAGAAAATGGTGGGAAGATCTCGGAGATGGGGAAGATCAAGGGAGACATCACAAATAGTTGTGTATGAACTCTGGGTTCACCCCATGCTTGCATGTATGGATCTCACCCCAAACGGAATACCACAGGCTTTGTGAACTCCGTTGCGGGTAGCTCTCTGCCCAGGTCCCTGAATGACCGACCTCAATTTAGTAGAGGCCAGTTATAGTTTGGCCACAAGAGGGGGCGCACAGGTGGGACTGATCTGAAAAGCTCTGAAAACACTTTCTAAACTTTACTTGGAACCACAGCTCACACAAGGCCGGTTGAAATTTCTGACCTGAACTTCACCTTCTAAGTTATCTGCTAAAATTAAAAATATCAATGTTATCTAGCCAGACTGACAAAGAAATAGAGAGAAAAGACAGAAACTACTAAATTCAGGAATGAAAGAAGGAATATCACTACAGACTCCCTCCTCAACAATTTGAAAGGCTCACAAGTGAGTATTATGACAAACCAAGGCATAAAAACTTGATAACTTAGATAAAATGGACCAATTCCTTGAAAGATATAAATGATCTCAATTTTCTCAAGAACAAACAGATGATCTGAATAGTTCTATATGTGGTAAATAACTTGAATTTGTAGTTAAAAGCCCCTGAAGAAGACATCTCCAGATAGTTTCACTTACAAATTCTGTAAAACATTTAAAGAAGAAATAACACCAATTCTACACAATCTCATCCAGAAAATAGAAGAGGAGAGAACACTTCCCAATTCATTTTGTGAGGCCAACATTACCCTGATACCAAAATCAGACAAGACAAGAAAACTACAAACCAATGATCTTTCATGAACATAGACATGAATCTCAACAAAATATTAGCAAGTTAAGTCCAGCATTATACATGCATGTGTGTGTATCTTACCATGACCAAGCAAGGTTTACATCAATAATTCAAGAATGGTTCAATATTTGAAATCAATTAATATAATCTACCATGTTAACAATCTAAAGAAAAAAAAAACTAAAGAAAAAATCAGTCAAATAAATTGATGTAGACAAAGCATCTCAAAAGATTCAGTGGTCATTCTGGTAAAAGGACTCAGCAAACTAGGAACAGAAGAGAGCTTCCTTAGTCTGAATAAAGGCATCTACAAAAAAACAAAAACAAACATCATACTTAATCTTGAAAGATTGAACACTTTCCCTCTGAAATCAGGAAAAAGACGATATTCATTCTCACCACTCCTATTCAATATTGTACTAGAAGATCAGCAATGAGACAAGAAAAACAAGAGACATGCATTTTAGAAGAAAAGAAATTGTCTTTCACAGACAACATAATCGTCTATGCAGATGATTCCACAGAATGTACAAAAACCTAAAAATAATAAATGAGTTCAGCATGGTTGCAGGACATAATGTCAACATGTGAAAATCAGTTGTATTTCTACACACTAGCAGTAACTGAATTCTGATCTGAATTCAGTTGAAAAAATTTTAAAACAGCACTGACAATGCCTTAAAAAAAAACAAAATATTGGCCAGGTGTGGTGGCTAACGCCTATAATCCCAGCACTTTGGGAGGCCAAGGCAGGCAGGAGTTCGGAACCAGTCTGACCAACATGGAGAAATCTGTCTCTACTAAAAATACAAAATTGGCTGGGCTTGGTGGCACATGTCTGTAATCCCAGCTACTCGGGAGGCTGAAGCAGGAGAATCGCTTGAACCCGGAAGGCACAGGTTACAGTGAGCCAAGATCGTGCCATTGCACTCCAGCCTGGGCAACAAGAGCGAAACTTTGTCTTTAAAAAAAAAAAGGCATAAATGTAATAAAATATGTGCAGGATTGATATACTGAAAACTATAAAACACTAATGAAAGAAATCAAAGAACACCTAAGCAAATTGAGAAACGGGCTGCACTTGTGATGGTAAGATTCAGTATAGGGGCTGCCTGGGGGCCCTGGTCCAGAAGGCTGTCCCGGGGGCCTGGACACTTGTGATGGTAAGATTCAGTACAGGGGCTGCCTGCGGGCCCTGGTCCGGGAGGCTGTCCCGGGGACCCCACCCCTCCCTTAAAAAAAAAAAAGATTCAGTATAGTTAGGATGTCAGTTCTCCCTAAAATGTTCTGTAAATTTAACACTATTCCAATAGAAATTCTATTTTTTTGTTGTTGTTTTTTTTTTTTTTTTTTTTAGATTCTAAAACAATTTTGAAAAAGAACAGCAGGCCAGGCTCAACCTGTAATCCCAGCAGTTTGGGAGGCCAAGATGGGCAGATCACTTGAGGCCAGGAGTTTAAGACCAGCCTGGCCAACATAGCAAAACTCCACCTGTACTAAAACTACAAAAATTAGCTGAGCATGGTGGTACACACCTGTAATCCCAGCTACTTGGGCGGCTGAGGCGCTTGAATCTGGGAGGCAGAGGTTGCAGTGAGCTGAGATCATGCCACTGCACTCCAGCTTGGGCAAGAGAACAGGGAAAAAAAAAAAAAAAGAGCAAGGTTGGAAGACTCATACTACCTGATTTTTAAAATTACTATATAACTACAGTAATCCAGACTGAGTAATATTGAAGAAAGGACAAACACACAGATCCATGGATCAGAATACAGAGTCCAAAAATAGATCCACTCAAAATGGCCAGGTG